TTATTCTGCAAATTTCCTCAGCCATTCAGCAGCACAGTATTTTCACAGAAAATGGAGTTGTTCTGGTTATTTAATCATACTGTTATGTTGTTATGACTTGGAAATTAGGTTGTGATGAAATTGTTACATCCCGTATCATTTGCATAAAGAATGCTTGACTTGTTTCTTTTCCATTGCCAGAAAAACAATTTTTAGTGAATAACTTAGTTCTTGTTACCTTGAGTGACTGCTTTATGGTTGAGATAGGCCTACTTTTCCTTTGGTCAAGGAACGATCTGTTATTAAACTTGTCACTTTACTTATTATGACGATTTTCTTTGTGCAACATTTTTTATGAGACAAAATTAAGTCTTAAGGAGTAACTGATTTAATCTTGAGGACTTAAAAACACATTTATGCTGGGAAAACGATCAACAAATCACACGTTTAAACTATTCAAATCAATATTTACAACAAATCTATTGCATGTCATTTCACATTTTTTCATTAGGGCAAGTTGATGTAATTATTTTATTTTATTATTATAATAATAATTATTATTTTTTTGTTAGTGAAGGTTTTCCTTAAAAGAAAGTGAACAAAATAAACATATGTCAGGAGGGTGCTGCTGATGCTTATTCTGTGGTGTTTAAATGAATTTCTATAAAACCTAGTACTTTGTTATTGTTTATGTTTTTGTATATGTAAATATCTATGAATCTGAAACATTTTTCCCAAATTATTTTAACCAACCTTTTTAACGTGTTGGTACATTGAACTAGAAAATTGTGATTGGCTTCAGTGGACTGTGCATTGTCTGATTTCATTACCTTTTTACATGGAGTACAGTACTTCACTATGGATTTGCAACTTCAGTTCAATTCATTTTATTTATATAGCACCAAGTCACAACATACGTTGTCTCATGGCACTGTACATGAAAAAAAAAAAAAGATCTAATGAAGCCAGCAGATTGTGTTGAATCACTTCATCACAGTCTCAACTTAACGCATACAAATGATTTAAAACTGCTCAGTGAAAACTTTGAGTAAGGACAACTTAAGACTAAAACATAAAATGATTCTAAAAGCTCATCATAATGGTAGTAAAAGAACAATTTCTTTGATGGCATCTTAATTTCAGCCGAGGATGTTTCATTTCTTCTCACTGAGCTTTTATATATAATTGATAGACCACCATCATGTGGATAACTTAGGTAACTTCACTTTTAGTTCCTCTGAGTATCAGCGCTTCATGCTTCTCAGCCCTTTAGTTTTAGTTGACACTTCACAGTTTAACATAAAATAACGTGTGTATTATGTGTCGGCATACAGTTGTTTCACTGTTTTTTAAATTTCTTCTGTTTGTTATTTTGAAATCAAACCGCGTCATATGCTAGTGCTCATTCATATATCATAATTTTATGTTTTTAATGTTTATACTTTTTACATTATTTAACTTTACGTACAAAATTACTCCTCAAAAAGAACTACACTGAGAGCCTTTATTATTCTTTAAAAATGTTCTCTGAAGTCTAATGTTTGCTTTATTTTAATAATTTTATGTTTTCGCTTTTGTCTGTGTTTTTAGCTTTCAGCTTGTTTTGCTAGATTTATCATTTAGCTACTATTTTTTTTTTCAAATTTCTGCTTTTAGCTAGTTTTACAAATTAAAGTTTATAGCTAGTTTTTTTGTAATCTTGGTTTTCAAGGGTTTGGTTTTTTAGAATTAAACTTGTTTCCCTAATTTTAGCTTTTTTTCTAATTTAGTCTAAGTTTTAGCTAAGGTTTTGTTCCTTTTAGCTTTTGTTAATTTTTGATTTTACCTAGTATTCTGATTATAGCGTTTAGCTAATGTTTTGATGATTTTAGCTTCTGTTTCGTTTGTTCTAAACTTAACTTAGTTACACTCAAAAAAATAGACAGTGATTCAGCACTGCATTTTCATAGAAAATGCAATAATTTTAGTTTTTTATTATTTAAGTAGGAAGAACAAAAGTGACTTAAGAAACCAACAACCCTTTTTTCATACACAGAATCCTGGAGGGCTTACAGTACAGCACAAGCTAAAACAAACAAACAAAGAAACAAACAAACAAAAAACAGAAGTGTACATTCAAATAGCTAAGGCACAGACAAGTTAGATTTGTACTTTCTTGGATGTGCACCCAGATTTTTACCAGTGGCAGTCAGGTGAGTCTAAAAATGTCAACATTTCTTGTATAAATGTAAAGCAAGGTAGATGTGATATGTGTTTGAGCAAAACTGTATGTACAACAACGTCACAAATATATATTAGTGAGGTAATGAGGAAAGAAATCTAAGGTTTGAATATATCAAATGAAAGTTGAAGGTTTTGGCAATTTTCTTGGCATGGGACGATGCAGCACACTTAGATGTTTTGTTTTCAACACACTTCATTGTAGACAAAAGTTGTTTGGCTCAAATGTTAGGCAATCAGAGCAGAGGGCATCACAACTTCCAGACATTGCTTTAAAAAAACTATCTGAAACAAAATTCAGACAAAAAAATTAGTACAAGTAGCTGACAGCGTGTGAAAATACCAAATAAAACACTAAAACCTTTCTCAGTCAGCTGTTAGAAATGTGTTTTTAAAAAAATYGGCTTTGGTTTTGTGTTTTGCTGTTTGTTAGCTGCACCTTTTTGGTGATAATTTATCATTATAATAAAGTCATGTTTTAAAAAATGCATTGGACTTTATAAACAAATAGCACAAAAATGATAAAACCAAAAAAGAACACTTTTTATATCTTAAACAAATAGTCTTCTTTCCACTGATGGCTTTCAGTCAAAAACACTGATACAGTTTGCTTTCCTTTGAGGCTCCAAAGCTGGTCAGTCCATCTTCCCATCATGGCCATTAGCCGTCACAGTCTCTCGCTGGACCCTCCTTTTGTGCCAGCCCTTGCTCTTCCGTCTAGCGAATCGAATAATGTCCACCATGAAGACCCAGGAGAGCGCGTACATCGCCACTCCTCCGCACTTGATAAAGAATCTGGGTCTCGGCGAGATCAGCTCACAGTACAGCATTGTGCCTCCCACGAAAACTCGCATCACCACGAACAGCAGCACGAACAGGACGTCCACAGCGTCCCCCAGCCGCGTCTCATAGCGCCCCGTCTGTTTGAGGAACCAGCGTGCCTGCAGGAGGGGGTTGGTGATCTCGCTGCCAAAGAGCACCGCGCACGACTCGATGCCAGACTCCCCCAGCCACAGAGTCAGCAGGATTCCCAGGATGCTCATGGTGTGGTGGGCCAGCATAACGGGTCCTTCTGTGCGGAAGTACACGCACCAGCCCATGTCAAAGAAGAAGTAGCCCAGACTCAGCACCATGGCACTTATCTGCAGAGGGGTGTTCTTCGTTCCTAGCATCCACAGCCACAAAAACAAACAAAAAAAGTCATTTCAGTAAAAATTAAACAACTACAAAACATGTTATAAACTGATTTTTTTATTTATTTTCTTTCACACTTTAAAAGGAATTCCAGTTGGCGTTATGAACCAAGCTGGTGTAAAAATAACAGCTGTTTTAGGTAACACTGAGAATTTCAGTATTTTTCCAATCATCCATAACAGGTAAGATATTAACTGTTCATAACATTTCCACAAAACTCCATTTTAAATAAATTGTGCTATCACTTTAAAGTTTTCTTTGCATCAATTCATGCTTTTAATAGTCCTCACTGAGTTGTGTCCTGATCCTAACATTTGCTTTAAGAAGTTATACATCCTTATACACACGCACAGTCTGTTTTGTATATCCCCGTGGGGACCGTGCATTGACTTCCATTCATTTTTTGGAAATTTTATATCCTAACCCTGACCATTTACCCTAAAATTAACCTCACGGGTACCTTACCTGACCCWAAAACTAACCTAAACTCAATTCACACCTTGGTCCTAAACATAACCCCCCACCCGTAATTTGCATTGCACGTTCGGTCCCCACGAGGCTGCTTTTTTGGGAAGATTGTCCCCACGATGTAGGAATAACAAGGCCACACACACACACACACACACACACACACACACACACACACACAC